TTTTTTTTTTTTTTTTTTGTTGCTATTAGAAAATTAGAATTTTGAAGAACATAAAATTCATTAAAACACACTTCAAATGTCGGGAAAGCTCAATTTCCGCCATCTAGGAATCAAACTTTACACCGGTGGAGAACCCCCGGTCCCCCCTTTCTTTTTGGGATTTATCGATTCATGGAAAAAAGGATACGCATGCAACTCATTTGTTTATGTATGTATACACACATAAAATAAAAAATGAGAAAATTTTACCTGACCTTTTTTAAGAGGGGAAAACCTTGAATTTTGAAGAACTTTAAAAGTCATTAAAAAGACATTTCAGAAGTCAGGTAAGCTCATCTCCCGCCATCTAGAAATCGAAATTTTTCCGGGGGAACCCGGACCCCTTTTATCTTTGGAGTTCATTGATTAATTGAATCATTTGATTCGAATCATCATTCAATTTTGAAGAATTTAAAAGTCATTAAAAGACACCACAGAAATCGGGAAAGCTCATTTCCCGCCACCTAGGAATTAAAATTTTCCCGGGGAAGAACCACAGGACCTCCCCCACCCCACTTTCTTTTTGGGATTTATCGATTCATGGAAGAACTACGTATGCAACTTACTCAATGTTTTTTATGTATTTATACACACATAAGGCCTATTTACTGTAATAACAATGGGAAAACATTATCTGACCGTTTTCGAGAGTGGAAAACCTTGAATTATGAAGAACTTAATTACTTTTAAGTTCTTCAAAATTCAATGGTGTTCCCCCCTTGAAAATTCTTATAATGAATCAATGAACCCAGAGAAAAGGAGGTTCGAGTTCTTCCCGGGAAAATGTTGATTTCTAAATGGTAGACAATGAGATTTCCCGACTTCTGAAGTATTTTTTAATGACTTTAATTTAAAAGACACCTCAGAAGTCGGGAAAGCTCATTCTAGGAATCAAAATTTTCCTGGGGAAGAACCCCCGGACCCCCTTTCTTTTTGGGATTCATCGATTCATGGAAAATTCGTATGCAACTACTCATTTTTTTTTAATTGTTGTATGTATACACACATAAGCCCTATTTACTGTAATAAAATGGGAAAAAATTACCTGACCGTTTTTAAGATGGGAAAACCTTGAATTTTGAAGAACATAAAAGTAATTAAAAGACACCTCAGAAGTCGGGAAAGCTCATTTCTCGCCATCTAGAAATCTAAATTTTCCCGGGGGAGGAATGTTGACCCCACCACCTAGATTTGATTCCAGATATGCATAATTCATGTTCCCATTCATCTTATAAGCAGTGGCGTAACAGGCGGGGCAGGGGGAAGACTGTTCCCCCCTGACGGTTTTTACCGGGCTGACTCCCCTTTGCTTTCTAAGTTATAACACATAGTCCCAAACTCAAGAAAGAAAATTTAAGATAGATCGTTTTATCTAAAAGAAGGGCCTCAATGTGTAATGATGTTGAAAGAATATGTTTGCGATAAATAAAGCCATAAGGAAAATGCGTATATTCAGTTTAAAAAAACGAGTGTGGCCATATATAACATAAGAGCATTTCTTGTTGATGTAGGCCAATTTCCTCTAAAAATTGCACATTTTAGGGAGTTTTGATCAATTCTGACGAAATTAGAATTAAAAAAACAAAAAATTTTCGCGCGCCTCGCGCGCATTTTGTTAGCGTTAAAGCTTGTGCTTGTCCTCCTTTGCCTTCTAAGTTATTTAAAAACATAATATTCCCGAACTTGAGAAAGAAAATTTAAGATAGATCGTTTTAGCTAAAAGAAGAGCCTCAATGTGTAATGATGGTGAAAGAATAGGCCTATTAATTGTAATAAATAAAACCACGATGAAAATGCTTAAATTTAGTTTCAAACACACGTGTGTGGCCTATATTAATAATAAAATAAGCCCTATGTC